ATTGGGTAGTTGAAATCGGTAAATGGGCAGTTTCTTGTACTCAATCGATAGAAAAAATGGAGTTCTAAAGAAATAGCCGAGTTTGGTCAGCTGGAACAATGGAATTAGCCGAAAATAGGGCTCAAAGTGGGTGAAATCGCCGATTCATAAATATCGCCGAGGTCGCTAATTTCGCGAGAGCATAATTCCGTCAGTTTTCCATCAAATCTTGTTCTTTTGGTGTCATTACAATCTGGAAAAGATTCTCTATCATTTCATAAGAAAAAATTTTTTATTTTTTTTTTTGAAATTTTGCGACACCAGGAGACACCTCAGGATTTGGGGTTGCGACAGTCAAGGGGTTGAGCATCGTTGTAGTATATTATGTGTGGGTGGGGTGACCAGGAGGGCTACCACACCTAACTTCTTATAATAAATACTCCTCACCTTTTGCTCTACATTAAGACTACAAATATTTTGAGGTAAATAATGAATGTACTATGTGTATTTTACTTTTTGTTGTTTTTAAATGTCTAGTTCTATTGCTAACTTAATATATGTTAGTGTAAACTTGTTATCTGGCATTTATATGCATTTATAAGTGGAAAAAAAATGGTGTTCTGCTTTCCGGCAATGTCTGCTTTCCGGCAGTAGCCTGGAACCTAACCTGCCATATAAGTGGGGCCCTACTGTATATTCCTAGACAATAGTAAGTGACCAAGGCAGGTGTAAATGTCCACCTGTCAATGTGTTTGTGATAATTTGAGTACAATTGCAGTACCTAATTATTAGTGTCAGAACAAAGATTGGTTATGAAATGACAAGAACTACTATAAATTGTAATTTCTTCTTTCAACAAACCGGCCGTATCCCACCGAGGCAGAGTGGCCCAAAAAAGTTTCTCTTTTTTAAATTTAGTAATTTATACAAGAGAAGGAGATACTAGCCCCTTGCTCCTGGCATTTTAGTCGCCTCTTACAACACGCATGGCTTACGGAGGAAGAATTCTGTTTCACTTCCCCATGGCGATACGAGGAAATAAACAAGAACAAGAACTAGAAAGAAAATAGCAGAAAACCCAGAGGGGTGTGTATATATATACTTGTACATGTATGTGTAGTGTGACCTAAGTGTAAGTAGAAGTAGCAAGACGTACCTGAAATCTTGCATGTTTATGAGACAGAAAAAAGGACACCAGCAATCCTACCATCATGTAAAACAATTACAGGCTTTCGTTTTACACTCACTTGGCAGGACGGTAGTACCTCCCTGGGCAGTTGCTGTCTACCAACCTACTACCTAGGAAACTGTAATTATCAGAACATAAAAATTATATAAATATAAAAATGAGAAAAAAAAGGTATATCAGCAACGCTTCTGCAAGCGGCAGGACTCAATGTTGCCGTCAGGCGAGCATTAACCCTTTGACTGTTTTCGACATATAAATACGTCTTACGAGCCAATGTTTCTGACGTATATATACTCAATAATTCTAGCGGCTTCAAATCAAGCGGGAGAAAGCTGGTAGGCCCACATGTGAGAGAATGGGTCTGTGTGGTCAGTGTGCACCACATAAAAAAAATCCTGCAGCACACATTGCGTAATGAGAAAAAAAAAACTCTGATCATTTTTTTGGAATAAAACGCCGACTTTGAGGTGTATTTTCGTATAGTATTTATCGTTGTATTCGCGTTTTCATGGTCTTAGGTGATAAAATGGAAAACATATTACAGAAATAGAGATGATTTTCATTACTTTGACGATGAAAATGACCTTGAAACTGAGCTCAAAGTAGCGGAAATGTTCGATTTTTACCAATGTTCAGGAGTAAATAAATCACACCACACGTCCAATACATGTCAACTGGGGAGTCTGATATTCTTTCACTAGTGCACTGATATTATTTATACCAATTTTACAATAATGCAGTAGTCTGCATAACAGTAAATTTTGTATTTTTTTGTATGAATAAAAAATCAAAATAGAAAGCAATAATAATAATATAAGCGGAGCCTAGAGATGTGACTAATGAACAGAGCATATGTTATTTTAGTGCCACGAATGTCTACCTTGTTTATTCTGGACCCTATTTTGAAATTGGCATCTTTTTTAGTTTGCGTGAAATTGGCCAAATTGCCAATTTCTGACCACCATATTGGGTAGTCCAAATTAGTAAATGGGAGGTTTCTTGTACTCAGCTGATAAATAAAATGGAGTTCTAAAGAAATAGCTATGAGTTTGGTCAACTGGAACAATGGAATTGGCTGAAAATAGGGCTCAAAGTCGGCGAAATCGCCGATACGCTTATGTCACCGAGACCGCTAAATTCACGGGAGCATAATTACACGAGTTTTCGACCAAATTTCGAACTTTTGGTGTCATTACCATCGGGAAAAGATTCTCTATCATTTCATAAGAAAAAAATAATTTTTTTTTTTTCAAAAATTGAGCGACAGAATGACAGTTTCAGAGAGGGGCCTGAAACAGTCAAAGGGTTAAGTGCCAACTTCGTAGCCTCATATCTCGGTAAGTCGTCGTCGTCTTTCAACAAACTGGCAGCATCCCACCAAGGCAGGGTGGCCCAAAAAGAAAAACGAGTTTCTCTTTTTAACCCTTTGACTGTCGCATCCCCCAATCCTGAGGTGTCTCCTGGTGTCGCAAAATTTAACCCTTTCAGGGTCCAAGGCCCAAATCTGAAGTGGTGCCCAAGTGTCCAAGAATTTTCAAAAAAAAAAAATTGTTATTTTTTCTTATGAAATGGTAGAGAATCTTTTTGTGAAGGTAATAAAACAAAAAGTACGAAATTTGATGGAAAATTGACGAAATTATGCTCTCGTGAATTTTGATGTGTCAGCGATATTTACGAATCGGCGATTTTGCCAACTTTGACTCCCATTTTAGGCCAATTACATTATTCCAGTCGACCAAATTCTTAGCTATTTCACTAGTATTACTTCTATTCTATCGATTGAGCACAAGAAATCGCCAAGTCAACCATTTCAACTACAAAATAAAGTGACCGGAAATTGGTAATTTGGCCAATTTAACACAAAGTTCAAAATATTACAATTTCAAAATAGGGTCCAGAATAAACAATGTAGGTATTCCTGGCACTAAACTAACATTTCCTCTGTTCATTAGTTATGTTTTGAGGCTTTACAAATAAATTCCATTTTGAATTTTTATTCACATAATGAATTTTTATTCACACCAAAAAATAGAAGATTTACTGTTATGCAATATTGTAATAATTGTATAAATATCATCACCACATTTGTGAATGTATATTAGACCCACCAGCTGGCGTGTATAAGACGTGTGAGGTCGTTTGTTTACTCTTGAACATCGGCAACAATTTAACATTTCTGCCACTTTGAGCTCAGTTTCAAGCCATTTCCAGTGCTAACACCAATCAAAATTATCTCTATTTCTGTGATATGTCTTCCATTCTATCAAATGAGACCAAGAAATCACAAATACAACTATAAAAAACATACGAAAAAACACTGCAAAGTCTCTGTTTTAATCGAAAATCACGGTCTCAGTTTTTTTTCTCATTATACACAGTGTGCTGCAGGATTTGTTTTATGTGGTGCACACATACCACATAGATGTATTCTCTCATATCTAGGCCCAAATTTACCACTCACAGTTTATCAGAGTTAGCTGAGCTCATGACGTAGATCTACGGTTTGGACCCTGAACGTAAAGCCGTAGATCTACGGGATGGACCCTGAAAGGGTTAACCCTTTGACTGTCGCAACCCCCAATCCGGAGGTGTCTCCTGGTGTCGCAAAATTAAAAAAAAAAAAAAAATAATTTTTCCTTATGAAATGATAGAGAATCTTTTCCCGATTGTAATGACACCAAAACAACGAAATTTGATGGAAAACTGACGGAATTATGCTCTCGCGAAGTTAGCGACCTCGGCGCTGTTTACAAATCGGCGATTTCGCCCACTTTGAGCCCTATTTTCGGCTAATTCCATTGTTCCAGTCGCCCAAACTCATAGCTATTTCTTTAGAACTCCATTTTTTCTATTGATTGAGTACAAGAAACTGCCCATTTACCGATTTCAACTACCTAATAATGTGGTCAGAAATTTGCAATTTGGCCAATTTCACGAAAACTAAAAAATATGACAATTTCAAAATAAAGTCCAGAATGAACAATGCAGACATTCCTGGCTCTAAAATAACATTTTCTTTGTTCATCAGTCATGTCTCCAGGCCCCTCTGATATTACTCTTGCTTTCTATTTTGAATTTTTATTCAAACAAAAAATAGAAGACTTACTGTAATAATTGTATAAATAACATCAACCCATTCATGACTGCATATTAGAATGGCTAGTTGGACATTTATTGGACAATGGCATCATTTGTTTACTTTTGAACATTGGCAAAAATCAAACATTTCCCCTACTTTGAGCTCCATTTCTAGGTTCTTTTTATAGTAAAATCAATCAAAATCACCTCTATTTCTATAATATACTTTCCATTCTATCAAATGAGACCAAGAAAATGAGAATACAATCATAAATACTATACGAAAATAGACCACAAAGTCGGCATTTTAATTAAAAAAATCGGTCGGAGTTTTTTTTTTCTCATTATGCACTGCGTGCTCCAGGATTTTTTTTATATGGTGCACACTGATCACACAGACCCATTCTCTCACATGTGGGCCTAACAGCTTTCTCCTGCTTGATTTGAAACCGCTAGAATTTATGAGTATATATACGTCAAACACGGTACCTCGTAAGACGTATATATACGGCCGCGACAGTCAAAGGGTTAAATTTAGTAATTTATACAGGAAAAAGGGTTACTAGCCCCTATCTCGGTAAGGACTGGCCCTAATTTTTTTATTTTAATCCTATAACACTTGGAAAAATGTTCTCTTTATTTCTGTATAAAAAAAAAATAATTTTTTTATTTTTCAAAATATTCGGGGCAATGGGCGAGAGAACATACATATACGTTTGGACCGTTTAGTGGTTAATGAAGCTGACTGACTTACAGTGAGAATTGGGAAAGACTTAATCCACTTGCGATCCCCTTGCGGCTCCTGTTCTTGAATGGGATGAGGGGGATAATTAACCCAGATGTTGTGCAACACATCCTCATTTTTAAATAGTGTGGAGCTCAACACTTTGTCTGCCTCCTGTTTTATGTTAAAATAATAAAAAGAATCATTGTAGAACACAAATTAACTGCATATTATATAAGTAAGATGCTTAAAAGTTTTTGTTGTCATAATTTTGCAAAGATAAATGATTGACTTTTGATGATTCAGAAATAATATTCTAAACATAAGAACAATAACTAGATGTGGTATAACTGCCATACAATACCATTATACTATATAGTAAATTCAAGGTATAAAACATAAGTTTCATTGTCTAAAATGGAAATCTGGAAGAAAATATGATGCAAAGGGTAAAATAGTGTTTATTAGGGAAAATTCCTGGGTCTACACCTTGACAGCAACCTGAAATTCAACACCCATATCCAACACATAACAAAAAAAGTACCTAAAATAGTTGGCATCCTCTCAAAGATACATTACTATGTGCCACAAACAGCAGTACTGTACGCACTAACACTATACCAGCAGTGGGCAAACTACGGCCTGTGGGCGGCATGCGCCCCACCAAAGGTTTTCATGCGGCCCACCAAGATCAAGTTATATACTCACGTTATTTGGGAACAAAATGTTAATAAATTAAAAAAAAAAAATTATCACCCAACGCCAAAAAGTACTGTGGAACATTAACACGTTACCCGCAAATGGCTAATCTGACAACTGAATGTGGCCCCTGCACTGAAAAGTTTATCCACCCCCGCCCTATACTGTTCACTGATCTACCCCTACCTCACCCATGCTATTTGTGCCTGGGGGATCCACAACGACAAATCCCCTAAAGCCAATAATAACCCAATAAAAAGCTGCAGTGTGAATGATCACACAATCCACAGCTAGACAACACCCCTCCCTCCCATATTTTTCAATGTTTATACAGTAATGTACTGTATAATGTAATAAACAGAATAGAGGAAATCAGCTCTAGTATACATTATTTAGGTATGCATACTGGTCAGAGAGCCCATTGTAAACCCGAGTTGTAAGTAGACAAGTACGTTGCCAAGTGAGGAGAGGCTGTACTGTATCATCACTAAGGACCACACACAGAATCTATCTGGCACTATCATTGCTTTTAAATGCTTAGAACTTCTGAAGGAGCACTCAAAAACTAACATACTGGTTTGACTGATGCTAAAGTGAGCCAACTGTTACTTGCTTGCAGTAAAACAATATAACAATTGATAACTTTATTAATTTTTAAACACACCAGCCATCTCCCACCAAGAAAGGGTGGCCCAAAAATAAACACACACATTCACCATCATTCACTCAATGGCCATCTTGCTAGAAGCGAACAAAATAATGCAGTATCATATCTTTCATCTTACCTCAATGTTGGAGTCCAAGAAAATTGCGCCCATTAGAGCCTCAAAGCAGTTAGCCATAGCATGTCGGAGCTCAAAGTCATGACAAAGATCAGAGCCATGGGCATAAAGCATAAACTGATCTAAACCCAGCTTCTCTGCCAACACTGCCAGATGCTGATTCTGTACAATAGCTGCCCTGAAGGAGTATAAAAAGTAAGCTTTACCAGTTAACAGGCTTTATGAAAGTTTTGTTATCAGTATTTCAGCTTACAAACAAATTATTTGTGAGCCTGAACTTGATACCCCTTCAAGATAATAAAACAAAGGATAACTGTGTCACATATGTTCATAACAGTATACAGGCATTCATAAAGACATTATTTTCTCAATTTTATGACTATTACATCCTTTGAACCTTGTTTGTAAGTATGGAATACCATAATGAACATTCATAAGCCAGGAGAAACTGAATATTTTCTATCATTCTGGTTGTTCATTAAATCTCTTACACTAACTTACCTGTAGGTAGCTAATCCACCTTCCTCCAGGCTGGGGAATAAGTGAAAAAGATGGATTGAAGTCAAAAATTCAACCACTGCATCTCCAAGAAATTCCAAACGTTCGTTGTGGGTTATCTTGCTTTCTGTTTCAAGGTTGTGCCCAAATCTTGACATAATGTTTATAAGTGTATTAATGCCTGAAAAAAAAAATACAAAATGCGTATTTTATAACAGAGAACTTTAATAAAATACATTTACAAACATTAAGCATTACTTCCAGACTTTACCAGTGGCTAAGATACAATGGTGACTGTACAATGTACTGTTATGCAGTTAATGACTGCAAGTAGTATTACAATAGGTTCATCTGTTTGCCAGTCAACCTTTCCAGTTTCTACATTTGATGCCTGTGTATGATCATCAACACTGTCACATCAATCTTGTCATGCCATCATGTCAATGATATGAAATACCTGCACTTCATTGGTATCCACAGATTTCATGAATGATGGCATATGTTTCATATTTCCTCTCACTGTCCTGCACATGTCTGTATTGCTCACCTCAAGGAAATCACAAAGATTATGGCTTATGTACCAATTATCTGCAAATAAGGTATGCCCCTTGCCCATCATATTCCTCATAACAGCACCAGAGTCCTAACATGTCACGTATACAATATTTTACAAGGTTTGATTTCCTGTATGCACAATAACATCTAGCACTATAAGTTTCACAACCACACATCGAAAATAGTCTGATACAAACCTATGTCATTTGCCTGGTGAATAATGCTTGAAGGAAAGTTTTCCTTTGAATAAAATCAGAGACTCATCTAAAACAATGTTCCGGATTGGATAATAGTATGCAATAGGTTTATGTTTCAGGTACAAAGTCTCTTCCTGTATTTTGTAGTGCATATCATATCTCTGGGGATTGCTTTTATCAGAGAAATGCAAAATATGCAGCAGGAAAAGAAAGTAATCAATAGGCATGATTTCACACAAAGCTGGGGTTGCTTTAAGTCTATCTGTACTCCAATATTTAGATGAAACATTATTCTTATAGGTGTGTGGCATCAGCATTAGTGTTGTAAAGTGATACAGTTCTGCAACAGTAATGTACTTCCACTTATAAAGTTGTGATTTCAGTAAAATCACAGCTTGGTTTGAGCAATGGAATTGGCCTAAAATAGGGCTCAAAGTGGGCAAAATCACTAATGCATAATAAAATGTGTCCAGGCTGCCCAATTCTGGCCTGCCAATTTTTGTAAAATTTTCCTCAAATTTCAAATTTCTAGTGTCATTACCTTAAGAAAAAGATTCTCTACCATTTCTAAGATACAATCAATCTTTTTTTCTGAAAAATCATGACACTATTAACACTTTTAATTTTGGGAGTTGTGACTGTGAAGGGTTAATGCACACCGAATTTCCTCTGCCAACTGTTTTGATAGAGGCGTTCCATACAATTTAATCATCATATAGGAATTGTATACTCATTATAAAATTGCCTATGAAACCAAGAAAGGATTTTGTTTTAAATTTGTATGGAGCCTTGATGACTAGCAGCCTCTGCTGTTAGCCATTCTCTCTCTCTCTCCTCACACTCTGTTTTCAGTCACTAAACATACATCTTTCTTATTGACACAGACTCTACAACTGCTACATATCAAGTATACACAGATCAGTTTAATAAAAAAATCCAAATATGGAATAAATAAATACAATGGAACCTCGGTTTTCGTATGCCCTAGTCTGTATGTAAAACTATAGTTTTTTTTTTTCAACAAGTTGGCCATCTCCCACCTAGACAGGGTGACCCAAAAAGAAGGAAAATCCCCAAAACAAAAATACTTCCATCATCATTCAACATTTTCACCTCACTCATACATAATTACCATTTTTGCAGAGGTGCCCAGATACAACAGTTTAAAAGAATATATAAAGATACAATCTCCATGGGGAAGTGGAACAGAATTCTTCCTCCGTTAGCCATGCGTGTTGTAAGAGCGACTAAAATGCCGGGAGCATGGGCCTAGTAACCCCTTCTCCTGTATGAATTACTAAATTTAAAAAGAGAAACTTTTGTTTTTCTTTTTGGGCCACCCTGCCTGGGGGGGATACGGCTGGTTTGTTGAAAAAAAAATAAAGATACAATATAAAAAGTGATCTGAGATAGTTATTCTCTATAAAATGTATTTTTGGCTAATATTTCCCATAAGAAATAATGTAAATTCAATTAATCCGTTCTAGACACCCTAAAATATTAACAAAAAATAATACATTTTATAGAGAATAACTATAGTTTTACATACAGACTAGGGCACACGAAAACTGAGGTTCAACTGTATTACAGCTACATATTAGCCTCTCTACATATGCTGTCAGACTTGTTCTTATTTCTACAATGGCAGAGAAATAAATATTGCTGTTCTGTGTTAATTCCGTGAAGAAGCAAAACAAAAGAATGTTTAATAACCTGTATTTGTCATGTGAAAACATTAACACAGAGGAGTCTATTTCACTCAACAAGTGATTTACATTTTTCTGGAACAGTATGGGTTCAAAAACTGAACCTCAAGGTATTATTTCTGTCACTTCTCTCTATCCTGGCACTTCCCTGATTTGTTCTCAACCATCTATTTCTTATGTGTTCTTTTATATGTAAATGGAGATACACAGTAAATACAAAGTAGGAGCTTAATGCCTCTCCATCATGCTTTCTCACCTCTTTTACGTGTGTTCATGTAATGAATTCGCCGATCTCCATATTCTGGCTGACGGATACCACAGTTTGTGAGCGAATTCCGGGCATGATCTGGATTAGTTCCAAAATTTTCCCTAAAATAAAGATAGACTAAATATTAATGTGAAGATGCAAAACAAACTGAAGCAACAAATAAAATACATATGGAGACGAATGGTATTTGGGACCTGACGAGCTGTTGGAGTGTGAGCAGGGTAATATTTAGTGAAGGGATTCAGGGAAACCTGTTATTTTTATATAGCCGGACTTGAGTCCTGGAAATGGGAAGTACAATGCCTGCACTTTAAAGGAGGGATTTGGGATATTGGCAGTTTGGAGGGATATGTTGTGTATCTTTATACGTATATGCTTCTAAACTGTTGTATTCTGAGCACCTCTGCAAAAACAGTGATTATGTGTGAGTGAGGTGAAAGTATTGAATGATGATGAAAGTATTTTCTTTTTGGGAATTTTCTTTCTTTTTTGGGTCGCCCTACCTCGGTGGGAGAAGGCCGACTTGTTGAAAAAAAAAAAATGTGTATTTATACCCTAGGTAATAGGTTGGTTGACAGCAACTACCCAGGGAGGTACTACCATCCTGCCAAGTGAGTGTAAAACGAAAGCCTGTAATTGTTTTACATGATGGTAGGATTGCTGGTGTCCATTTTTCTGTCTCATAAACATGCAAGGTTTCAAGGATGTCTTGCTACTTCTACTTACACTTAGGTCACACTACACATACATGTACTAAAAGCATATATACAGTGGACCCCCGCATAACGATCACCTCTGAATGCGACCAATTATGTAAGTGTATTTATGTAAGTGCGTTTGTACGTGTATGTTTGGGGGTCTGAAATGGACTAATCTACTTCACAATATTCCTTATGGGAACAAATTCGGTCAGTACTGGCACCTGAACATACTTCTGGAGTGAAAAAATATCGTTAACCGGGGGTCCACTGTATAAACACCCCTCTGGGTTTTCTTCTATTTTCTTACTAGTTCTTATTCTTGTTTATTTCCTCTTACCTCCATGGGGAAGTGGAACAGAATTCTTCCTCCGTAAGCCATACGTGTTGTAAGAGGCGACTAAAATGCCAGGAGCAAGGGGCTACTAACTCCTTCTCTTGTATAAATTACTAAATTTAAAAAAAGAGATTTCAGGTACGTCTTGCTACTTCTTGTAAGAGGCGACTAAAATGCTGGGAGCAAGGGGCTAATAACCCTTATAAATTTAGGACTTTGCTAAAAAATCATCTTATCTCACAATATTAACCAAATCAACTAAACATCTGCTAACTAGTTTTAATATGTGACCTCAAGGCTCTTAATTCTGCCAATCCATTAAATCATCTTATTTCTCAATATTAACCAAATCTGCCAAAACATCTGCTAATTAGTCTTATCATGTGACCTCCTGGTTTTTAATTCTGCAATTCCATAAAATATTACCACCTTCACCATTACCGGTTTGTTGAAAGATGATGATGATGATGTGTATTTATGCCCTAGGTAGTAGGTTGGCACACAGCAACTACCCAGGGAGGAACTACGGTCCTGCCAAGTGAGTGTAAAACGGGAACCTGTAATTGATTTACATGATGGAAGGATTGTTGGTGTCTTTTTTCTGTCTCATAAACATGCAAGATTTCAGGTACATCTTGCTACTTCTACTTACACTTAGGTCACACTATACATGCATGTACAAGCATATACATCTACCATCTGACTTACGACCTGCTCGACTACTTACGACCATGTTTTGTATGCAAATGTTCTGGGGAATAAACAACTGTTTGTGTTCTACACAGTGTTTCTCCTAAACCTTTCAGTATAAAATACAGTACTAACAGTAGAAAAGGTAAAGAAAAAATGAAATACCAAAATAAAACAACACAATAAAATTGTTACATAATGTGATGCTGATATTCAGTAGCAAGGTTCAACTTATGTCTACTTTGACTTACGACCAGTTAGTCGGAATCTAGCTCAGTCGTAAGTTGGATGGTAGGTGTATATACACACCCCTCTGGGTTTTCTTCTATTTTCTTACTAGTTCTTGTTCTTATTTCCTCTTATCTCCATGGGGAAGTGGAACAGAATTCTTCCACCGTAAGCCATTAGTGTCAAAAGAGATGACTAAAATGCCAGGAGCAAGGGGCTAGTAACCCCTTGACCTGTATACATTAGTAATTTTAAAAAGAGAAACTTTCGTTTTTCTTTTCAGGTCACCCTGCCTCGGTGGGATATGGCCAGTTTGTTTAAAAAAAAAAAGTGTTTATACAAAGAAACCTTTCATTTTTCTTTTTAGGTCATCCTGCCAGTTTGTTAGAAAAAAAATTCTACGAAGCATATGTACAATTGTAATTATTGTGAAAGAAAAATTGAGTATTGGTCAGTAACTATACAGACTAGTGTTACTGTTATTAATCATTAAATGTCAGACTGGAAGAAGAAATATAGAGTATTTACATATGTTAAATGTTAAAAGAATCTATAGCTTCTAACAAATAACAGCTACATCCATCAAGTTGTGACAGTACATATTTACTATATTTTAATATAAATTACAACTTCAATCCATATAAATGTGAATACATTTCAGAGGTGATAAGGATGTTCATTGCAAATGTAGCAGCCCCTAACTTGGACAAACAATGCAGAGCACAAGAGATTACATATGCCTACTAATAACTTGGTAGCTTTCATTTTGAGATTAAAATGAAATCACAACAAAGAGGTAAAACTAACAAATCAATGTGTGTGCACTTTGCATTTTTTATGTCATTTACATAAGTCTGCATCTAATGAACTTCCAACCCAAAACCCTGTTTCTTCAGTGGCCTGTTTTGGCATGTGTGGTATCTGTGGCCCCCCCTGAGTGTTGCTACAGTACTAGTTTCATCAGTGAGTCAATGACTCAGTTCTGTGCATATCATGAAGATACTTTCAGATTCCAATAACGTGACTTTGATTCTTTTCGTAAGACAGTGACTGAAGCTCTAAGGCCATGGGACAGTTTTTTACAAGATTGCCATACAGAAGGGCCCCATTTATACGGCAGGTTAGGTTCCAGGCTACTGCTGGAAAGCAGAACGCCATTTTTTCCACTTATAAATGTATATAAATGCCAGATGACAAGTTTACACTAACATATATTATGTTAGAAATAGAACTTAGGCATTAAAAACAATAAAAACTAAAATACACACACAGTACACTCATTATTTACCTCAAAATATTCATAGTCTAAATGTAGGGCAAAAGGTGAGTAGCATTTACTTTAAGAAGTTAGGTGTGGTAGACCTCTTGGCCACCCCCACCCACACATAATATACTACGACGATGCTTAAATAGTGATAAAATGCATATACAGTACACTCATTACTTTTTTTTTTTTTCAACAAGTCGGCCGTCTCCCACCGAGGCAGGGTGACCCAAAAAAGAAAGAAAATCCCCAAAAAGAAAACGCTTTCATCATCATTCAACACTTTCACCACACTCACACATTATCACTGTTTTTGCAGAGGTGCTCAGAATACAACAGTTTAGAAGCATATACGTATAAAGATACACAACATATCCCTCCAAACTGCCAATATCCCAAACCCCTCCTTTAAAGTGCAGGCATTGTACTTCCCATTTCCAGGACTCAAGTCCGACTATAAGAAAATAACAGGTTTCCCTGAATCCCTTCACTAAATATTACCCAGCTCACACTCCAACAGATCGTCAGGTCCCAAGTACCATTCGTCTCCATTCACTCCTATCTAACACGCTCACACACGTTTGCTGAAAGTCCAAGCCCCTCGCCCGCAAAACCTCCTTTACCCCCTCTCTCCAACCCTTTCGAGGACGACCCCTACCTCGCCTTCCTTCCCCTATAGATTTATAAGCTTTCCATGTCATTCTACTTTGATCCATTCTCTCTAAATGACCAAACCACCTCAACAACCCCTCTTCTGCCCTCTGACTAATACTTTTATTTACTCCACACCTTTTCCTAATTTCCACACTCCGAATTTTCTGCATAATATTTACACCACACATTGCTTTTAGACAGGACATCTCCACTGCCTCCAACCATCTCCTCGCTGCTGCATTTACCACCCAAGCTTCACACCCATATAAAAGTGTTGCTACTACTATACTTTCATACATTCCCTTCTTTGCCTCCATAGATAATGTTTTTTGACTCCACATATACCTCAATGCGCCACTCACCTTTTTTCCTTCATCAATTCTATGATTAACCTCATCCTTCATAAATCCATCTGCTGACATGTCAACTCCCAAATATCTGAAAACATTCACTTCTTCCATACTCCTTCTCCCCAATTTGATATCCATTTTTTCTTTATCTAAATCATTTGATACTCTCATCACCTTACTCTTTTCTATGTTCACTTTCAACTTTCTACCTTTACACACACTCCCAAATTCGTCCACTAACCTTTGCAATTTTTCTTTAGAATCTCCCATAAGCACAGTATCATCAGCAAAAAGTAACTGTGTCAATTCCCATTTTGTATTAAATTTCCCATAATTTAATCCCACCCCTCTCCCGAACACCCTAGCATTTACTTCTTTTACAGTCCCATCTATATTAAACAACCATGGTGACATTACACATCCCTGTCTAAGACCTACTTTTACCGGGAAGTAGTCTCCCTCTCTTCTACACACCCTAACCTGAGCCTCACTATCCTCATAAAAACTCTTTACAGCTTTTAGTAACTAACCACCTATTCCATATACTTGCAACATCTGCCACATTGCTTCTCTATCCACTCTATCATATGCCTTTTCTAAATCCATAAATGCAATAAAAACTTCCCTACCTTTATCTAAATACTGTTCACATATATGCTTCAATGTAAACACTTGATCTACACATCCCCTACCCACTCTAAAACCTCCTTGCTCATCCGCAATTCTACATTCTGTCTTACCTCTAATTCTTTCAATAATAACCCTACCGTACACTTTTCCTGGTATACTCAGTAAACTTATTCCTCTATAATTTTTACAATCTCTTTGGTCCCCCTTACCTTTATATAAAGGGACTGTACACGGTCTCTGCCAATCCCTA